GTGGGTCACATTAGATTAGATAGAAGTGATGGGAGGGGAGGGGAGGGGAAGGGGGAATGGAAGGACAGCAGAATAAAATAGACTTTATTATTGCTGTGGGTATATATGTGACTGCATGACCAATGTGATTCTGCAACCTGTACACTCAGAAAAATGAGAAATTATACCCCATCTGATTCAAATGTAAGATATGTCAAGGTCATTGTACTGTTATGTGTAACTAATTAAAACAAGTTTTTTAAAAAAAGACATCATGTCCACCTAAAACTAAAAAATAAATAAATAAAAGATACTCTATGTGCTGGCAAAGAATCAATAAAATAGGTTTTTGTACTGTCTATAGGAGTATAATTAGAAGAAAACAAAACAAAGCATCTATATATATTAAAAGCTTTAAAAACATTTATACTTAGTAATCTAAGGTCTAAGGGTTTCATACCAAGAAAATAATCTGAAAAAGATGTTTTGTTTTGTTTTGTTTTATAATGCTGGAGATCAAACCCAGGGTCTTGTACATGCCAGGCAAATGCCCTGTCACTGAGTCACATCCCCAGCCCTGAAAAAGATTCATATACAAGAATGTTCATTAGAACCTTGTTTTCTCTAGGATGCCTTAAGCATATTTAAATACCCAGCACTCACAGGAGAAACAAGGGAATGTAGCTGAAGAAGTTTCAAAACCACAGAGAAATATTTATGTTCTGTAAATAAGCAGAATATAAAATTGTCACTTACAGATTGATCGTAACTATGTAAATGGGAGAATATATACTAGAATGCTAACAAAAGTTACCTTGGGTAATTGATTGGGTAATTGATTAGTAGTGATTTTTTTCTTGCTTTGATATATGTTCCAAATTTCCTCTACTGAGTACTTATTTCTGTCCCTGAAAAAAATAGACATTACTAAGAAAAAATTCACCCCTGAGCAGGCTAGGAGCCTGTGGTTCTTTGACTTTCTGTTTTTTCTATGTAAACAGGCATAAGAATTTTTCTTACCAGACCCACCAAACCATATGTAAAGATGATTTTTTTAGCATCAATTAGGAAACACAATAATTCCATAAATCAAAAAGTCATTAATTCCGTTTTCCTCCTGTCTCTCATTCTCCTAGTCCTCAGAGAATATTCCACCAGGTTACGAAGTGGTGTCTCTTCTGGAGGCCCTCAATGGGCCCCTCACCCCATCCCCAGCAGTCCCCCCACTTCACGTACTTGGAGATGGCCATCTCTCAGGAATGCTGCCTTCTTATGGTAGTGATGGCCACCTGCCCCCCGTCAGGACACTCTCCCCACTGGACCGCTTATCTGATTGCAGCGGCCAAGGACTCAAGCTCAAAAGGAGTCTCTCCAAGTGAGTAGATCCCCAGTGTTGCCCTGGTCCTCTATGAGATGCGTCTACCCACTCCCTCCTCGCGCTGGTCGTTTCATGGGCTCCAGGGCATGGTCAGCCCTCCTGCTCTTCCCAGAGTTGCCAGAGTCATGGAAGACCTGAGGCGAGACTTTGGGGGAAGTTACGCCATCCCTAAGAGACGGAAATAAAACGTGTGTGAGTCCTTGGGACAATTCCCATTAGACACRCTTGTCATGTGGTCTTTTTGGCAGGGAGGGCCTGGGGTCAGGGAAGAGGATGTACATTGGACAGGGTCTCTGAGGCTCCAGGGGAGCATGGGTCAGTCTGAAGACTGAAGGAACCTCCTGACAGTGTCACTTAAGCATTTGAGCTCAGTGGGGTACAGTCACAACAAGTCTCTGCAGCTGAGTAAGGAAGGTGTTTTTACAAATGAAAGAATTGAGATCCTGCCGACTTCAGTGGTCTTCCTCAAACTCAAACGGCAAGTCCCTGAGGAAGCCAAAGACAGAAGAGGTTTCCATCTCCCCCAGGGGCTCCTCCACCCCTCGTTGCTCCAGATGGCAGAGCAGCAAGGTGCTCCTGGTGGTCTGAGGAGTCTGGTAGGAGGAGTGTAGGCAGCTCCCTGGTCTCTGAGTGGGTATTAGAGTCCGCCGCTTGTCTTCTGCACTTTTACAGGTCCATTTCTCAGAATTCTTCCGTGCTGCATGAAGAAGACGATGAGCGCTCTTGCAGCGAGTCAGAGACTCAGATGTCTCAGAGACCATCAGCCCAGCACCCTGGAGAGGTAATTTCTTTCCCTGGGTTATGGCCACCAATCCCTGTCCTCCTGCCTATAGTCCCTGGCTCCTCGGGTCCCTGCCTTCATTATTCATCAGATACCGTCACCACCCTCGAAGGAATCGGCAGCTGCAAAGGTTCCCTGAGATTCACGAATTCACAACGTGTCAAGCCTGTGTACTCCCCAGTGTGTGCTGAAGATATAGCAGCAGTGGGGAAGCCCCAAAAGCCCCTGTCCTCATGACACTGTGTCCTTTCAGAGTTGGGGTAGGGATGGGCACAGATGGCTAAGTAAGAGACGTACATGTGCCGGTGGTGATGGAGACCAGAATGCTGGATGAGGAACAGGGTGTGGACGCTGGAAATGAGGTTTCCCTTTAAACAGTGGTCCAGGAGCAGGGACAAAAGCAGGGGAGATCAAGATGCCCAGAGGCCTCAGAAGAGGGTCCTAGGCTCTCAAAGCACTGGAAGATTGACCAGAAGTGGCAGAAGACTGGAACTTTCTACCCTGTGAGTCCCAAAGTCCCTGCTAAGAGTTCACTTCACAGTTTATTAGCCAACTCTGTCGAGGGTACTGGGCAGTGACAATAAGGTGCCCTTGTGTGGAGGAGCGCAGATCCAGGTGAGGCAGCACAGGTATCGAATACCAGCATGATATCTGGCACATTGTCACTGCCCAGGAAGCATTTGCTGCTGAGATGTACCTTTGCTGTAGAAATGAAGAGCACCCAAAACAGGGACCGTAAAATGTCAATGTGGAGATCTACACAAGTTTGATAAATGGAGGAGATCAGAAGCAACAGTAGAGAGGTCATTTGAGTTGAATCTTGAACTTTTTTAGACATGAGAGAAAGGGAAGAAAAATATTCTCRTGGAGGCTTGGAAGAGCCAGGAATACAGTGAGAGTTCATGGATCAGCCAGGAGTCGCAGAGCCAGGAAGCAGCTCAGTAGCCCAGGCCTGAGCCCAGATGAAAGAAGGCCACCTGGAGAAGAGGAAATGGAGCATGGGGAACAGGCAGAGGGAAGGAGAGGCTGTGTGCCCACGACTGATGGAGAGCAGAGGCGACGTCAGCTTCAGATTAATTGGCGGAACTTAGGGAACTTACGGGACATTTATGAGATGTCTTTCTGGCAGTGAGGCCCCTACCGGCTTTGTGTTCTTTTCCACCTGAAAGAAAGCTCTTCATGATCCTGGGGAAACCGACGGTGTCCCCATGTCACAGCTGCTGGGTGACCTGTGTCACTGGAGCTGCAGTCTTTGTGTGGCCCCAGCAGATGCTGGGCCTCAGGCAGAAGGTGCTGACGGAAGTTGCACCTCCCCTGGGAGACAGTCACTCCAGGACCTGACTGAGGAGGAGTGTTGACAGAAGAGAAGCCCCAGTGATGCATCGACCTTGTCCTTCCCAGTGTCCCCTTTCTGCTTTTGACCCCTTCTTCCAAYGTGCCTGACTTGTGCTTGCTCCATGACTGTTATGTCCCCCATTCCCAGGAATGTGCTGTCACTCCAGAAAGTGAGAATCTCACTCTGTCGTCTTCGGGGGCTGTTGACCAGTCATCCTGCACAGGGACGCCACTCTCTTCCACCATTTCCTCCCCCGAAGGTACATAAGGGAGCAGCTGCGTGTGTCCCCCACTTAGTGCACAGCTGTCCCAGCACTTCTTTGGGGATAGGAGCAGCTTGTGGAGGCCTGAGCTGGAGAAGGGCTCTTGTTCCTACCGTGAGCTATGGGAGGGTCTTCTCATCACAGGTTTCCTTCAACACTGTGATGGGAAAAAGCAAATCCTGGTCCATGAGGATGCTCTAAAAAGAGCAGCTGGGCTTTGTGGCACATAGCTGTAATCCCAGTGACTCTTTCTGGAGGCTGGGGCAGGAGGCTTCAAGTTCACGGTCAGCCTCAGCAATTTAGTGGTGCCCTAAGCAACTTAGCCAAGACCCTGTTTCAAAATAAAAAGGGCTGGGGATGTAGTTCAGTAGTTGAGTGCCTCTGGGTCTGGGTTCAGTCCCCAGTATGATGGAGAGAGAGAGAGAGAGAGAGAGAGAACCTTTCAGGGGAAGGCAAAGGAGCCCTGTGTTCCCCGTGCCTGAGCACAGAGAGGAAGTTCTGCTTCTTAGTAAATCTGACTTCCGTCTCCCTCCTCCAACTCCTGTTTCCAAAGACCCTGCCAGTAGCAGCCTGGCCCAGTCAGTCATGTCCATGGCGTCCTCCCAGATCAGCACCGACACAGTCTCCTCCATGTCTGGCTCCTACATCGCTCCTGGCACTGAAGAGGAGGGAGAAGCCCTTCCTTCCCCCCGGGCTGCCAGCAGGGTCCCCTCAGAAGAAGGAGAGGTAAGGGGAGGGCACTTAAAAGGGGGGTGCACTTGAATTGCCTTGATGCTGTCTGCACGTCTGTCCAAAGTAGCTTAGTAGACTACTCTGGCTGTGCCGGAACCAGCTGCCAAGCCCCCAGCACTGAGGGCAGGATGGCATTCCCTTGGGCCAGACTCCTGTCTGCCGCCATCTTTGTGCTAAGGAGGGCTTGGGCTTGGTTTTGCTGTCATGAAGACCCATACTGTGCCCTTGGGCTTTGTTGCTCTTTTGCAGGGGATGGCAGCAGAGTCTCCAGATAGCAATTTTGCTGGCCTCCCAGCAGGAGAGCAGGATGCAGAGGTAATCCAGAGGGCAGACAGTGGCACCTCTCCTCTCAGCCAGAACTGCTGCTGTTGGCTGGGGATGGGGGTGGGAGAYGGGGCACTGAAGGAGCCTTCCCGGGTGGCACACCTCAGTCAGTCAGAGTGGAATATTGGTAGCAGTGCAGTGCCTTTACAGGTGCTCAGAAGACTGAGGCAGGGGATCAAAAGTTTGAGGTCAGCCTGGGAAAGTTAGCAAGACGCCATCTGAAAAGTAAAAACTAAAAAGGGTGGGGGACGTGACTCAGTAGTAGAGCACCCTGGGTTCAATCTCCAGTACCACAAAAGGAAAAGAAGTAGAATGTGGGTATAGGTAAGAGCAGCACACACTCTGGTCAGTTGGCAGGGTGCACCAGTGTGATATGTGGAGTAAGCTCAAGAGGGACCTTTCCATGCTAGACCCTGGGCCTTGGAAATGTGTGAGCGTTTGCATAGAGGCTGGGCTGCATCTGACACAGGCACATGTCAGCCCGAGTGGAGAGGTTTCCACCCGCCCCACTCCCAGTTCCCCCTCCAAGAGCCCATCCTGGGACAGACAGGATTGAAGTGCAGTTGGGGCATGCCCTGACTTCAGCAGGTCCCAGGCTTCACGGTTCTAGAGCCAGATTCTTTCAAAGGGCTTCAGGATGGGATATGGGAGTCTAAGAGGTGTCTGAAAGTTTTGATTCCTCCATGATTTGCTTTTTTATTTAACTTTTATTTTCACCTTAAAGGGTGCCAGCTAAGCTGTTTACAAGGGTATTCCTAATGGACCATCCTGAGTATATACCTGAGTGCACATTCCACAGGCTGATCTAGCTCCCCAGGCCTCTTCAGCACGTTAAATGAGGGTGGGAAATGTGCACTGTGGACATGGCCGGGAGTTAGATACGGATGCCTAATTCTGACTTTAGCCAATTGCTATATTCCTCTGACTGCTTCGTAGACTTATGAGGACTTCCTTCTGTCTTAGGGAAATGACGTCATAGAGGAAGAGGATGGATCTCCAATGCAAGAAGATGGTAAAAGACCTGGTTGGTCCTATGCGTCCACATGCTGTTTCTTTCCTGGGTGTTCCCTAAGGGATAAAGGAAGGGGAACTTGGCAGCAGTGCTCAGCTCTGTGGCTGTTAGGAAAACATTTGTCTTCCTGAGGGTAATATCAAGGCAAGCAGGGTATCATTGATCTCAGTGACCTTCCTAGCTCTTGCTTGGAGTCAGGATGAGGATGCTGCAGAAGATACACCCGGTTTTGCACATGCAGTCGATGGGCCCTGTGGCTTCTTGGCCACCCCCTTACCTGCCCCCTCAGCTCTCCAGCTGAGCCCGGGAGCTGCCCTAGCAGCCCTCAAGTAGCAGCAGAAGCAGCATCTCCTTCTTGGGAGGCAGGCCTGTTTGGCCACCTGCCTGGCTTCACTTTAGTGGAGAAAGTAGCTGGTGTTACTGTGAGGGAGCCCTCAGGAGGCAGCAGACACGTGACGTGACGTGTGTGGCCGAGGAAAGGCCAGTTTCTTCAGCAGCTCAGCCAAGGTGAGAGCTTCCCAGGCTGCCATGGTGATGGCGTCACTGTAACCCAGGCTTCAATTTTGTCTTCATTTGGAAGAGTTTGTTTCCAGCAAGGCTAGAAGTAAAGGAGTGAAGGCAAGGAAGAAGAGGGGGTGCTGGAAAAGTCACAAAACTTGTCATAGGAGCCAAGCTGCCGTCCYCTCTGCTCTGGGGCACCTCCCGAGCACACGTGTGCCATGGCCTGGAAGCAGTCGTACCACACCTGCCATCCTCGTTGCTTCTGCTTTAGTGCTGGCCATTGCTTCAGTGTGTCAGGGGTGTGCTGCAGACTGGACAGGTCCCACCTCGCAAGAGCCTAAGGAGAGGCCCTTTGAGAGACTGGCACCCTCCCCTCCTGCACTCCAGCCTAGGGTTTGCAGCTTCACCTGCTGTGTGGGTGATTTTAGGGCCTCAGGCTCTAGAGTCGCCCTGGGTGATGGTTCTTTCAAAGAATATACAGGGTGGCCAGGTTTTTTTCCACCTGATACTCTGAACCCCACACAGTGGGTTTATGTTTTCTTCTCTTCACCAAGGGAAAAAAAAGGTAGTTCACAAAAATCTCTTCTAGAACTTTCCCGTCTCCTCTTACATGTCTGTAGGTTTCTAGGCAGTCACTGAAAACATACTCAAAAACTTTAGTCCTGTAAGAGAATGAATCATAATTTTGTGAATGTGGTCATTCTGATTTGAAATGCAAAATTATGGATGCTAAGCCCTTTAGTTGTTGTTTTATGTGTTTATCATTTTGCAGAGCCTTGTGGTCATAAACACACCCCGCTTGGACCCAAGATAGCCACAGGCATGAGCAGAGTACTGTCCCTGGCTTTCTCCAGCTTCTGCCAGCCACAGTGTCAGCAGCTTGGCCTGGGCACAGCTGCCCTCCATGGTGGTCTCTGCAGAGCCTGTGTCCCACAGCCCTCTGCAGTGATCTGAATTCTTAGGGAGCAGAGCTAGAAAGGGGCCAATGAGGGAAACAAATCAGGATGGTGCGAGAACCCAGACATGCCCACACGATTTGATTCCTTTTTTTGTCTGCTCTTTACCCACTTAATTAATGTCTTTTTTTTAACATATGGTTTTATTTTTTGTCTCCATCCTTAAGATTTTTATTTTAAGGACAGCAAAGCAGAGAAAAACACAGCCAGCCCCTCTCTAACTGCATTAACTCCCTTACAGGCCAGAGGACATGCGCATTTCTAGGTATGGAGTGTGACAATAACAATGACTTTGACATCGCAAGCGTGAAAGCACTGGACAATAAGCTGTGCTCTGAGGTCTGCTTACCCGGTGAGTGGCAGTCTGCTGAACATGAACTTGGTGGGAGACATCCCTCTGCTCTTACCCCTGCTCCCACCCTTGGTACACCCGACTCCTGCCCTGCAGTTCCTGCCAAGGCTTGGGGTGTGCTAAGGTTCTGAGAGGAAGTGAGAAGGCCTCTGAAGAGCCCTTGAGTTTTTTTGCAAAGAGTGACTCCTGCTCTGAGAATACTGGGATAGGAAGAGAGGAGCAAAAAGTCCTCTTCTTACAATTTGACCTAACCATGAACCTGCATCGTGATCTTGCAGATGCCATGTCAGGTGGCCTTTCTTATTTTCATCAGCAGGAAGTTTAGGCAGCCAACTACTCTCCATGAAGGTCCCAGAAAGAGAGCCGGAGCTCTTTAAAAGTGAAGTCATAGCTCCTCAGAGGACACGTCTGAGTTAGGATCCAAAGGGAATTTGACAGTCAGCAATTTATAGGCCAACAAATGGCTCTCTGATCCACTGAGCTGTAGGTTACCAGCTGCATCTCACATATGATTTGGATTCCAAAGGAGGGGCCAGGAGTCGGGGGTAACTGCTCCCTGGAGCCCTAACTTTAAGTTTGATCAGGAAGTGCTAGGGATACAGCTCAATGGTGGAGCACTTGTCTAGCAAGTGTGAGGCCCTGGGTTCAATCCCTAGCTCTGTAAAAAAAAAAAAAAAAAAAAAAAGACAGTATTTGTGAGTATTCCCCTATTTCTTTCCAGGATACTAAATGGAGTCTAGGATAATTCTGTATAAAGCAACCTTGTTAATCACACTTTGAGCACTGACCTCCATGTGCTCATTCAAGGGCTCCAAGAACACTCCTCTAAAAGCCAAGTCCTGCCTAAGTGGCCAGGTCTGATGGCCCCTCCTGGTCTCACTGCAGAGAGGCCCTTCAGACTGTGCTATTTACAGTCTTCTCCAGCATCCCTGAAGGAAGACCTGCTTCAGCTTCAGAACCACCATGCCTGGGTCCAGTGCTTTACTCGCTCAGCGAAGTGGCTGGAGGTGTTGCAGCCGCACGGCCTCCTGTGGTTGCCACTCTCCATCAGCCTGTGCCAGATGCGGCCCCAGCAGGTGCTGGCCCCACACTAGCTTGTGGTGGGGGAAGCCAGAATTCTCGGAGATACTTTCTCCAGCCTTCCAAAGGGCACTTTGATCATTCTCTATTTAGTTTGTCTCAGGATACTGCCGGGTCTCTTAATTCATAGTGAGGACCCAAGAGGCAGTATCCGTTCTCCTGCTTCTCCTGCTTCTCCTGCACAGGCCCAGGGCAAACCCCCTTCCAGCCTGAGCATGAGGAGGAGCATTGACCCACATGGCCCGCCTCCTGCCCAGTTAGGCCTGGACTGGAGCTGCTTGGGACCAGGGCTCACTCACTCCCTACCCTCCCACTCCTGACCTTGCTTCTGTCTGTCCGTTTGTGTTTCATGTCTTTTTGCCAAATGTAGATCTGTCCGTCTGGTTTGTTTATTTTTTTAACTCATTTACGTTACCTGACTGTGAAAGTTCATGTTCATTCTGTGCCAGCACTGTCCTCCCTGCCTCTGCTCAGCCCAACACCAAGCTTGCTGGCGTGCGCACATTGAGGGCTCTCGCTTAGGGTTGTAGACAAGGTTTCTTTTCCTAACCAGGGAGGACCTGTATTCAATACAGTAAGATTTTCCAAGAAAAAAATATTTGTGAGAATGCATTTCTGTTCCACATAAATGGGCATGCTTCATTGGTGAAGATTTGTGGGAAGGATTTGTTTTTCACTGGCATCCTCGGTCCATAGCCGGGTGAGGATGGTACCTCTGCCTAGCTCTGTCTCTGGCAGCTCTCTGCCAGCCAGCACCCCTCCAAGGCTCCCATACACACCCCTGTTTCTTGGCAGAGGGAGCTGCTATGAATTGTTTGAACCAATAGTGCTGGTAGAAACTGAGCCTATTCTTTGTGCTCCTTCTTCCTAACTCCCTCTGACCAACCTGTTCATCAATGTTTATTCCCTTCCGGGATTGTGGGAGGGCAGCAAGACCAGGGCAGAAGGAAGCAGCCCTAGGGTTCCTCATGGTCACTTCTAGAGCCAGCAGTTTTAAGATTAAACCGGGTTCACAGTTTGGCCAGACATGAAATCAAACACCTATGGCAGCTGTTGGGAGAGGGACTCAGATATAAATAAGTACTGTAAATATCCATCATGTCCTTAGCAAAGGTCCAAAGCATCAGGTGGGGAGGGGAAGGTGCATGTTCTCTCTCGGCAAAATGTTTCTCTGGTTCTGCTGTTAGCATCACACCTATAGCAAAGAGCTGGGAAATTCTCTGGAAGTATCGGTTGGGTCAAAGTCAGGAGAATTCACTTTGTTGGGCCCCATGGTCTAAATGAGCCTCTGCACATTCTGCTCTACATTCAAACTCCCACCCTACCACCAGACACCCCCAGGCTGGCTCCGCTCCTCACTGTTCCTGCGGGCAATGTTCCCCATCAAGACTGCTTCCCATGCCCTGGTCCCTGCCTGAGTCTGCTTCCCTCTTCAAGTGCATGCTGCCTCTCCAGGGAAGTCCAGTGGGGAGCGGAGCCCAGGGAGCACCCGTGCTCACCCTGTGCCATGCTCACACTGCTCTGCAAAAGACCCCTCCTCACCATTTTTCTCATGCTTGGTTAGTGGGCACCTGGGAAGTCCAGCTTCTCTTCCCCTAAGAAGCTTCCAGGTCTTCTAGGACCCCAAGACTCAGAGAGGGTTTCTGGTTCTCCACACCCACCGGGGAAGGCAATGTCCTGAGATTGCTTCTGAAAAGTCCTCCGAGGTGGGAGTCTGAGCTGACAGGTGGTAAAAGTAGAACTGCATAGCCGTGAGAAGTTGACGTGGCGCCAAGGAAGTGAGTGGAGATTCCCTAGGTGGCAGGAGAGTGATGGGGGCAGGTGACAGTTCTGGGAAAAGGCTCTCAGTAGTCTACGTGATAGGAAAAGGCAAAGAGGGATACGAGGGCAATCTGCCTGTGACATCTGTTACCCCACGGACTGCAGGGCCCATTCAGCTCGTCTGACCTGCTAGGTGGGTGTCCTCTTCCTGCCTCACCGCTTCATGTGCATCCCTCCCAAAACTGTGTGCTCAGCTGAAGAGAATGACTTCTCCAATAAAGGAGGAGCTTTCTGCAGAAAAGGGTATATGAGTGACTGCACTTCCCTTCTAGAACCTCCAGACAAGCTCTCAAGGAAGAGGGCAAAGACAACTTGGGTGTTTTAAATGGAAATACAAATATAATTTTAAAATTATTGCATTGTATTGGAGTGGGCATGTCCAATGAAATCTTATCAAGACATGAATTCAATTCACTCCTCTCTCAAGACTAAGATGCTACTAGGAAAGTTCGCACATTGTAGACACTAAGGGAAAATCTAAATTAAGTTTCTCTTTGCCTTGGAGAGAAGCTGCAAAGACAATTGAACTATCACAACCCTTAAATGTAATTAGGGGGCTGGGGCTCAGTGGTAGAGCGCTCGCCTAGCACATTTGAGGCATTGGGTTCAATCCTCAGCACCACATAAAAATAAAGGTATTGTGTCCATCTTTTAAAAGAAAAAAAATGTAATTAGGACTTGGTAGAGGCCCGACAAGGGATGCCAGATCTCCCTCAAGTGCTCCCCATACCTGCCTCTAGAGGCCTCTACATTCCTCCAGTTCTGGTTCCCTAGGTAGGAGGTGAATGGAAAGCACCTTTGCCCTCCAGAGGGATGTCAAGTATCCAAGCTCCATTTGCTGGCTGGAGGGTGGGCCCGATCCAGCTGGCCACAGAGGCTCCCTGGAAGGGGTGTCTTCCTTAGCATTGGGTCTGCTCTGTGGCCAGGTTGCCCCAACTGAACTGGGGAGGGGCAGCAGCGGGGCTTTCCAGGAGAAAGGCACCTCTTTCTCCAGCCACATCTCCCCTGTTCACAGAGACTTCGTCTGAGTCTCAAGTCTGTTCCTCAAAGACCTGATTTGAAGCCCTGGTTAAAGCTACTAGAAGGTAGAGCTTGTACAGACTCCTGTGAGTTCAGCCCTGACAGCCTTCTGGCAGCCTCCTGGCCCAGTCTCCTGCTGTGCCAGCAGCTGTGGCAGGTGGTAGTAGTGTGGCTGCTGCTGTTTTTATTTGTGCGTGCATGTGTGTCTTCTCTCTTGTTTACCATTTGCTTTTGGTCTTTCCTACTGAACAGCCGCAGTTCCGGAGTCCTGCCCCAATAAACATTGAGGAATAGGTATGAGATCTACCAAATTATATAAATGAACAAACAAATCATTTTATTTGGGGTTTCTAACTGAATGGGCAGTATTGCCTGCTCTTCCTCCTGCCCGCCTTAGAGGGAAGAAGCACCTTCATGGGTGCTGGATCCCATGGAAAGGCTCAGCCCTTCCTCTTCACTCCGCTCCCTCCCTGGGCTCACGCCCACTCGCTGCGGTTGTCCTCAGGATGGACTACCACACCAGGGCACGTTGGGAAATGAGCACTTGATACCTGCTTCATCCTAGTGTTTCTGCCACTAACGGGTTTCATATCTTGAGCTGGCCAAACTCTAGGCTGACCCCAGCCGTGTGTCAGTGGCTCCGACATCATCTGGAGTTGGCTGGCCTTGACCCCTCGAGGAGCCCTCTGATGGGCCAGGTACCGTKCTGGGCTCTGGAGTGCAACGGTGATATGCCGTGGCCAGCACCAGGGGTGCTCATGTCTGAGGAGAAGCAAGGGGGCCTGTAATTTCCCGCAGTGTGAGGAGGGAAGTGGGGTTCAGTTCGCTGGGGAGCCGCAGGGCCTCATCCAGCTGGGAGATGCCTTGTGAGGGAGGCCAGAGGGTCCATGGGACAAAGGGCCTTACTGAACACCAGGGGCAGGGCTTCATCCCAAGGGTGAAGGTGGCTCTAGCTGCCCTGAAGGGATGAACAGACAGAGCCTATTTGCAGGGGAGATAGGAGGGTGATCTGAACAAAGCCTGGGGGCTGGTTCCAAGCACATATTGCCAGTCACATATTGCCCAGTCCCCACAGCAAACTTGAGGGCAGCATTGCCTCCCACATGGCAGATGAAAAAGCCAAGGCTGGGGCCTGGGGCTGGGGCTCAGTCACAGAGTGCTCTCGCCTGGCACGTGTGGGGCACTGGGTTCCATCCTCAGCACCACATAAAAATAAACAAAGGTATTGTGTTCATCTACAACTAAAAAATATATATATATTTAAAAAAAAAAGCCAAGGCTGGAAGTAAAATAGCCTGCTCAGGACCACCCAGTTAGTACATCGTAAGCGTGAAGCCCAGGTACTTGTGACTAAAGTAGTACACAACTAGCATGTGTGCACAGAGGTGCCAGGAATGGGTTTCAGCCAGGATGCAGGGGCAGCTCTCTAGCTAGTGTCTCCTGGGCTGATGGCACCAGCTGCTGCTCTGGTACAGGAAGAGATGAAAAGCAGAGGTGGGGGAGGGTGGCCAGAGCCTCACTGTGCCTTCTGTCCCTTGCACCCTGCAGGTAGCCAGCCCCTTCCAGCTCCCCACTCGCTCCCACAGCAAGCACTTTTGGGCTGGAACAAGTGCTCTCTTCACTGCCCCCCACTTCTGCCTGCCCTAGGAAATAGCTAGGCCCAGTTTCTTTTCCCTTATCTCACAACACATAGACAAACTCCAGAACCAAATAATTAACATACCGAAGTGGATCCTAGGGTAAGTTCACAAACAAGGAACATCTGTCATGTCCCTCTGTCTGTGGGCCACCATGGTAGTGACTGTACCTGGCCTGCCAGGGCGGGAACAGCTCTTCCACATTGTCAGCGTCTGCTTCTCCCTGTTCTTTCTCATGTGTTCTGAGACTTGCACACTCTGTGGAGTTTCGGGTCACACACATGCTGCTAGCTTCCATATCAAACTCCCAGGCTCCCYGACTGGATATGCCAAGTGGACCCGGCCAAGGCTGGATGGGCTCCTGTAACCTTTGATGTTTCTTCTCTAGATACCTGGCAGTCAGATGACAACATTGTCAGCCGTCTGAACATCCAGCACCGGCGCTTATCATCTGGCAGCCTGGAGGACCCCGAGAACAGAGCCTGCRTTTGGGGTCCTTTGGCTGTCTGAGAGCACCTGCCTGGTACCTGGGCACCCCTGTCCTTGCATTCCATCTGTCCTCACTGCACCACTGGCCTCCCAGGCTTGCACGTCAGTGTGGATTTTTATACTCACATGAAAGCTGGATGTGGAGTTCAGGCCACTCCTCCTTCTACTACTTGTCTCCTGTAACCATGATCCTTCCTCTCACAAGGGACAGGAAGCCCTTCTTACTCAGTGAGCTGATGCCACTCAATGAACTGCAGAACTGCAGCTCCAACTCATGAGACCCTTTGTAGAGACTGGACTGCATCTGCTATACCTGATCAGCAGGTGGAGCCGAGAGCCTGGGGCTAGTGGTTCTGCATCTCTTTCTCCTTTCAGGGGTAGATCAAGCTTTGTTACCAACACCCATCTGGTAGTTTCTAGTCTCTGGCACCTCATAACCAATGGTGGTCAGGGGAGGCCATCTTGCACTGTATGTGGTTTTCATCACAAAGCATTAGGAGCTCCTTTCTCAAGGACAAGGAAGATGGTGGCATCCAGAGGCTGGTTAAAAAACCAGGTCTTCCTTCTGGTAGCAGAGTTGTCTCCTGCACCTCATGTGCCTGTCTGCTTCAGAAGGGGCCCTGAATCTGAGAGCCTCGTTATGATGATCACCCTTCAAGAGGCCTTCTGATCAGGTGCAGCAGGAAAGGCCTAGGACTCCACCAGAGGTGACATTTCAAGAAGTGTGTCTCTGGACCACCTCTGTGCTGGAACTGTCTTTACCTTATTTCATCTTCACTATAGCCGTGTGACTGGGGAATCTTACGCCTCTTGCCCCCATCTCCACCCCTTTTTTAATAGTTGAAAAAATAGGCTGAGATATGGACCAGTGGTTCTCAAACTGGTGCCCAGGATCACCAAAGGAAATGGTGGAGAGCTTTGAGCTAAGACCAGGCAGTGGCCTGGGAGCCAGTGTTGGGGCCTTTACGTCCAGGACCCTCCCCATCCTGTGTGTTTTCCTCTGCTGTCTAGATTTCTGAGCATGATAGGTRAAGGGGAGGTACAGCCTCCACAAGCTTATTGGCAATTTAGAGATACTATTCTAATCAGCACATAAACAAAACCTGCCAGTGAGGCTGGCCCAGAAGCCGTTGAGTGATACACCTTTCTCATCTCAGTGATTCTTGAACAAATGCCTAGATGCCTTGTCCACTGGTTTTTGGAAAAGGGGATTGTTTAGTGGGATGTGGGATTGTTTGGGAAACACAAATATTTGTGAGGATGAGATGTGGGAGAGCCTTAGGCTGGGCCCACTGGCATGGGTTGTCTTTTAGGATTTGCAGTTGTTATCCTAAAAGAGCTTTCCCAAAAGAAAAAAAGAAATCCCAGTTCCCAGTGGGTCCTTTGCATCTTCTGTCTGGCTGCAGAGAGTGTGGYCCCTTCCATACTTAAAATGTAAGCCAATTTATGTTGAGCAATAAGCCCACTTTCAGATTTCCTTGAAGTATGACTAGGCAACAGGGTGCTTCCCTTGGGAGGCAGGGGACACAAAGCCCCCTCCTCTTGCCAGCAGAAGTTGCAATGTGGAGTGACCTGGAAGGATTAGGCAAATAACTGAGATGCAGGAGATTCAGGTAAACAGTGGCCAATGGAAGCCCTTTGGCAGCCCTTCCCAGAGTGTCTGTCCCTCACAGCAAGCACTGGGTCCTCTCCCAGGAAGACCTGGTTCCACACAGAGAACCACAGGCTAGAGTGCCCTTTACTCTTTGTTGCTCAGTTCCTGTTTCSTCCCCACCCCCAACTTTGTTCTCATATTTTGGCAAGCAGAAACAGCCCAACTAAAGGAGTAGGCCTCAGTTGGCCTGATGAGGGACAGGTAGCTGCCACCCTCCTCCCCTAATCATCATCCGGAGTCACCTTATCAGCATTTGCCCAGAGAGTGGAATAGGGCCTGGCTTCTTCCTGAAGGCACACACTGATTTAGGTCTGCATTCTCCCATGCTCTGCGGTGCTTTGGTGATCCTGGTTTCCTCACAGAGCTTTTTTGCCGTCTACTCAATTCCATCCCACCAGTTTATACCCCCCACTGGGGCAACTCCTGGGCACCGACCCAAACACTACGCTGTCTCACCACCTGTAGGCATTCCAGTTGTTCACTTTGCTTTAGGGCCTGCACACCTGGTGTGTGTGTGTGTGTGTGTGTGTGTGTGTGTGATGCTGTTGGTGCCATCTGTGTACCCCCCTCACTCTGGAGTACACTTGTGGGCACACTTCAGTGGGGACATCAAGAATGCAATATTTATGGATTGCTGCATGATTTTAAACATGAATAAAACTGTTTACAAGGGGAGGAGAGCTGTTGTCTACCAAGTAGTCTCATTTGCCAGTGGTGGGTCTGAGTTCCTCAGGTACTCTTTAATGTTTATTGGAGAGGATCTGGAAGTAGAGAGGGGCAGGGGAGGCATGCTGCTGGGTGGGAGCCCACTGTCTAGCTTTCTGCGTGGCCTTCTGGGCACCAAGCCTTCAGCCCCTGTCTCTGTACTCCTAGGTAGAGCTGCTTTAAACCGGAGAACTCCCAACACTGCAGCTCCTCAATAATTAAAGAGCAGGAAAGCTGGTGACAGGAGGGAGGTCAGGGGGAGGGAAGAGGGAGTGCTAATCCCCAGTGYCTCCTAGTCTTGGTTCCTATCACTTAAATGGTGAAAATAAGTGGGCAAATGACCCCACTAGGAGAATTTGGCAAGTTGGTGACTTTTACCCACTGGCTTTCTGCGGCTATCAGGGAGGGAGGGCACCTTTGCAGGTGCCTCTGGAATGTGGGGGCTTTCGGGAGCCTTGCTGAGGATCGGAGACGGAGGAAGCTGCTTACCCGGAGACAATGGATTACCCTACCGCCTTGGTGTCTGCGAGCGGTGTGGCAGTTTTGAGAATATGAGCGGCAGGTGGCATCAGAGAGTCAGACCTGCTGCGGGCACCGGAGAGGACACTCAGGGTCGAGAGCGAGGGAAAGGCCGCAGAAACCTGAGAAAGTGCCACTCGCGGCCCAGAGGGGAGGAAAGAAAACCCCAAGGATACGGTTCCCGAGCCTGAGCCTGCTCCCTGCCTTGGCCCCTGGAACCCCAGGCTCGGTCCCAGGGCCATCAACGCCTCGTAGCAGCCCAGACTCGACGGGTACGGGGACGAAGGCGGTTCCCGGGGCCTCGGGCAGGAGCCGCGCGCCATTCTGTTCCCAGCGCGGGGCCCTCGGGCGGGAATGCGCCGATCTCGGACGCGGTGGCGGGTAGGGGGCTGGGTGGCGCGGGAGAGCGCGGCAAAGGAGCGAGTTCCGAGAGAGTTGCCGCCAGAGAGAGTAGCCAGGGCCCGCGGTCTCCTTGGTGAYGTGTTGGCCAATGGGAGTGGCGGAAGCTGTTTATAGGGGCGGGGCGTCGYCATGGCAGCAGGAGAAGCCTTTGGAGCGGCTACTTAATGCCGGTCCCGGGGCCGCTGGCGCTCAGAGAAGCGCCGTCGGGCGGGAGGGGGGCGACGAGAAGCTCTGTTGGGGCCCTCGAGCTGGGGCAGAGAGCCGCGGGGGGGTGGGAGGAACTTCTTCCAGAATCTTCCTCTGGCCCGGGCTGCGCTCTGAGCCAGGTAAGGGATAGGAAAGCTGTGGGCCACGGAAGGGCGGGCATCGGTACCAGTCGGGTCCCCCATCAGTACCCGGAGGGAGTGGGCTCAGAGACTGACATCTGAGGAGTTTCGGAGAACTCGCTTTCCGCCCCCCCCCCCTTAACTTTGTCCCCTTCCCGTGACCCCTCATCCTCATATCTTTTTTCAAGGACCAGCCCTGTCCCCACCCTGTCGTACTGCCCTCCCAAGACTTTTCGACCCCGTTTCCATTTGTTTAGAGGGGAGGGGGACCCTACCATCTTCGCTCTTCTCTCGGCTGCCCTACCCTCTTTCCTCGCGTGGCCAGTAAAACCCCGAGGAGAAACACGGAGAGCCGGGCAGAGCCGTGGGGGTCGGAGCCAGGGCACGACGGGAGCTTCCCGGCCGCCTCCCCCTGGCACACACCCTCTCCCCTCCGCCACGGGGGAAGAGTGCTCAGCTCCCGCTGTGGTCCCGCAGGCACCGCGTTCGTTTTGGGAGGAGAGACTCCCGGTCGCGGGATGGAAGTTCACGTTCAGGAAGCTGTGTAACCGGAGCCGCGGGAGCCAGAGAGCAGAGAGCGCGGCAAGTCACTCAGCTCAGCCGGTGGATGTTGACCGCCCCCTCGGAGAGTCCCAGCAGATATGGCGGAGAGCTGGCTAYGCCTCTCGGGAGCAGGGCCGGTGGAGGAGGCCGGGCCGGAGGGCTGCCTGGAGGAGCCGGACGCCCTGGATGACAGCCTGACCAGCCTGCAGTGGCTGCAGGAATTCTCCATTCTCAACGCCAAGGCTCCCTCTTTCCCCGCTGGGGGTACGGACCCCCATGGCTACCACCAGGTGTCAGGCTCAACGGCGCCGGGGTCCCCGATGGCGGCTGACCCCGCCTGCCTGGGGCAGCCGCACACGCCAGGCAAGCCCACGTCGTCGTGCACGTCGCGGAGCGCGCCCCCGGGGCTGCAGGCCCCGCCCCCCGACGACGTGGATTACGCCACCAACCCGCACGTGAAGCCTCCCTACTCCTATGCCACGCTCATCTGTATGGCCATGCAGGCCAGCAAGGCCACCAAGATCACCCTGTCGGCCATCTACAAGTGGATCACGGACAACTTCTGCTATTTCCGCCACGCTGATCCCACCTGGCAGGTAGGGGAGGCGCGGGCAGCATCTGCCYGCTCCCCAGTCCCTCCTCCCCACACCTCACTGGACTCATCCCAGATCTGCAAGGCCAAGCAGGCACCGTGCAGCCAGGGCCTCCATGGGAGGGTGGCCTMTGAGGTCCTCGAAGGAGCCCAGTTCTTGGAACTCACCGCCTTTGACTTCCAGAGAGGGAACAGGGACAATATCCTGAGGGCAGATGGCTTTAGCATGAAGACCTTTGAGGTTAAAGGGGGAGGAATTTTTTCATCCTGCAGGCTCAGCCCCAAAACCAGGGCAGAGTCTCCTGGGGAGGGTGATGGGCTGAGGGCACATTCTTGTCCCAAGTCCTAGAATTCCTAGACACTGTCCTGCCCAAGGATGGTTTGTCAGAGCTAGACTCAGAAATGGAAAGGAGGTGGCCTCCTAGTCAGGCTCTGCATCCTGCCTTTTTGCAGTTGGTTTGGGGAGGATACTAGTGGGAAGGGTTGGGGGTGTAAAGATCAGCTGCCTCAGCAGAGGGGGTCTGAGCCTTCATAAAGCTTCTGCCCAGCCCCCACTTTAACCCCTCCCCAGTTTCCTGCCTCTACTCCCCCTCTTCTCCCCAGCCTCCCTGGGGAGACAATTACCTGAGCCAGGTGGTTTCCACAGGGGCTCTGCCTGCTGCACTGGCTTGTGTTCCAAGTCTCCAGAACCTGACACAGAGCAGCCAAGAGGCCCAGGCCACCATGTAAACATCCCAACCTTGGGGGCACTAKCCACCCATCTGCCTGCTGTACGGGTCTAGGCCCCCATACTCCAGCATGGGTAGGACAAAACTAGGCAGCCAAGAATGGACAAGGCAGGAGAACCTTGGGTTTGAGGCTGAGTAGACATCGCTCCGAGAGTCTTCAACAGTCAGGATCCAGGGCTAGTTGGAGACAGAAACCTAAGGATGCCCACCCTTCCCTGGGGCACCCAAAAGGGCCAGGCCACAGAAACACAGTCCCCAGCCACTCATGCCCTCACAGAAGATCTACCCTAGGCCTGTGCAGCTCAAGTCCCCAGCTCAAACCCTATGCTCCTGGCTGGATAATAATCAACTGAGCTTGGGATGGGAAGAGACGGCTGTGGGGGGTGAAGGACCAGGCCAGCAGCCTACTCAACAAACAAGGAAAGTCACCAGATCCGCCCCCTCCAACACACACACACATACCATCCTTGTACACCCAGCCCCCTCCCTTGATCCACTCACTCACTTCACTGGGAGGACTGGCCAGGCCAGGCAGAGGGATAGGGCAGTCCAGGCCCTGGGGGAGCCAGGGGCTTTGGCCAGGGGCCGCAAGCACCAGGGTAAGGGAGGGAGGGCAGGCGACGGGGGTGGCACTGAGAGCCACCCTGCAGCTCAGAGCTCGGATGACTGAGCAGGCAGATATCCCAGCAACAGAGAACAAAAGCCCCCGACAGCACTCCAGGCTCCCAGTGCCCTGTGGCTGGTGTCCCAGAGCTGCAGCCGCCTGGTCAGAGCAGTAGGTCTGTCCTCCCTTCCCCCATCACAGAGAAGATGGGGGGAGTGTGCAGGAGCACTGGGCGCCACTCCATCACCACTGTCCCCATTGACCCAGTGGTTCCTTCCCTTGTTCTCTCCCTGTGCCCAGAATTCCATCCGCCACAACCTGTCGCTGAACAAGTGCTTCATCAAAGTGCCTCGGGAGAAGGATGAGCCAGGCAAGGGGGGCTTCTGGCGCATCGACCCCCAGTACGCTGAGCGCTTGCTGAGCGGGGCCTTCAAGAAGCGGCGGCTGCCCTCAGTCCACATCCACCCGGCTTTTGCCCGCCAAGCTGCGCAGGAGCCCAGCACCACCCCCTGGGCTGGCCCGCTGACCGTGAACACCGAGGCCCAGCAGCTGCTGCGGGAGTTTGAGGAGGCCACGGGGGAGGTGGGCTGGGGAGCAGGCGAGGGCAGGCTTGGGCATAAACGCAAGCAGCCGCTGCCCAAGCGGGTGGCCAAGGTCCTGCGGCCCCCAAGCACCCTGCTGCTGACCCAGGAGGAGCAGGGAGAGCTGGAACCTCTCAAAGGCAACTTTGACTGGGAGGCCATCTTCGAAGCTGGCGCTCTGGGCGGGGAGCTGAGCACCCTGGAGGCCCTGGAGCTAAGCCCACCACTGAGCCCCACCTTGCATGGGGACGTAGACCTCACCGTCCATGGCCACCACATTGACTGCCCTACTACCTGGGGTCCTCCAGCGGAGCAGGCTACCGACAGCCTGGACTTCGACGAGACCTTCCTGGCCACATCCTTTCTGCAGCACCCCTGGGACGAGAGCGGCAGTGGCTGCCTGCCCCCAGAGCCCCTCTTCGAGGCAGGGGATGCCACCCTGTCCGCTGACCTGCAGGATTGGGCCAGCGTGGGTGCCTTCTTGTAAGAGGCGAAGCCCCACCCCACCTCCGGACAGTGCCCAGGTCAGGGCCCAGAACTGCCCCCAAACACGGCCTGTGAACACCCGACGCCCAGGCAGGGGCTGGGCCACGTTTCCCTAGGCTGGCTGCACGAGGCCATCTGCCACCAGCCCRGGATGTCCTCAGATTCAAGCCCAGGAGGCTGAGAACTGGGGGCCCAGGACCAGAATTGCCGCCTCCACTCATCAGCCCCCCTCTACACAGTGTTTCATTGATCCTCGACTCCCCACCCCAGGAACTGGGCCTGGAGGGGCCTGGCCAGGCTGGGGAGGAGCAGAATAGGGCCCTCCCCAGAGCTCTTCCACTTTACCCCTCTCCYGACTCCCTCCTGCTTCCCCAGGTCTCTATCTAGAGAAAGTTCCCAGGTACAACAAATGCTAATTAGGTGACAGCAAATTAACCCCCTGGGGACCTCTCTCCACAGAGCCTCCCTGGGGCCAGGGCAGTGGGGGCTGGGGTGGAGTGTGGCAGGAGATGGACTGGGGGAGGGGGCCAGYGAGAGGAGGCAGAAATGAGGTGGGGGCACAAGGTAGGGCAAGGAGATGCTCTCTAAGGCCTCTGGGTCTTCACCTGACCCCATCCTTAGGAGTAGGACGGAGGATGTCAATCCCTAATCTTTGGGCCTGACTTGAGGCTAAGAGCAGCAGGAAGTTGAGGTTTGGGGAGTTAGGGCCCGGCAGCCAAGCTGCAGGGGGGACAGACAGACTAATGTAGTGAGTAGCTGTAGCTAAGACTTAACTGGGAGGGACTGAGCTTGCTGGGGCCACTGGGACCAGGAAGGGGGCAGCCCCATGCCCCTGCCCTCACTTGGGGTTGGGGTCTTGCTCCACCCAGGGCTACATCCAGCATCCACCCTCCGCATGGGGCAATTTAACCTTTTTCATGGAAAGTTATTTACAATAAAAATTTTTTAAACTAAATTTTTTTAAAAATCTGAACAAGGATGTCTACACAGCTTTCTTTGGGAAAGAYGAGGGCCAGGTGGTTTTGTGGGGAGGGGCTGCCCGAGTGGGGAGTGACTGGAAGAAAGATGGGGATCTGCAGAGGGACCCCTCATGGAACTCCCCACGACCTCAGAGTCCCTTGGGAGGAAAGGACCAAGAAGCGGCTCTCAGGAGTCCCCTGCAGCCTGGGCCTCAGCGCCTCCATCTGCGCAATGGGGAGAACAGAGCCCCAGGGGAGCAGGGGACAAAGGGAGGAGGTTTGCCTCCCCACCCGGCCCCAGGGACTCACGCTACACCCCACCACAAGGGCCTGCCTGGGCTCGCCCGCCTGCCTGTCAAGAGTCAGCAGCCACGGCCTGGGCCTGCGTCCAGTCCAGCACCTCCCTGGCTAGGTCCTCTCCTGGAGGGGTGGAGTGTGAGGTCTGAGGGCCCCAGTTTCCCACTCTGGCATGCGTTGACCTGACCTGACCCAGTGCCAGTTTGGGGAGGAAGAAGGCCACTAGGGAATGAGCATAGGGTGCTCTGACCCTCTGCCCTCAGTCACACCATCAGGTCCACTCTATGAGGGACCAGGTTACTAGAGTCCTGATGGGGAAACTGAGGCACGGTATCTGTCTCTAGGTGACAGCCGGCACCATTCGGTGGTCCCCTTACCCTAGTTTTGTCTGTTACCCACCTCCCTACCCAATCCCCACCCAACCCCACATACATGCCTCTCTGCTGTGCAGCCATCCCCGGCCCCCCCCCCCCCCCCCCCCCCCCCCCCCCCCCCCCCCCCCCCCCCCCCCCCCCCCCCCCCCCCCCCCGTGAGCAGATGTCAGGCACGCGCGCGCACACACACACACACACACACACAGAGCAAAAAATGGGCACTGTCCTGAGCAATCCTGCCCAGCCTCCATGGACTGCTTTCTTCCCGGTCCCTTTCTTGCTCTGTCCTGAGTTGGGATGTAGGCCAGCCTGGCACTCCTCAGTCTAACTTGCTGCTTTCACTTGCTAATTATTCCAAATATTTCAGAAGGTCACACACACTGCAGGACAGGCAGGGTTAGGGCCTTACTGAGCCCCAGAAGTCAGTCCCTGTCCCCTTTACACAGAGAGGGCTGCCCCAGCAGGCCTCCACTCCAACAGCTCCTTCTCTCTCCCCACCACCCAACACACCCCTACCTWTCCAGGGGCCACGGCATTAAGGGAACAAGGAGAAGGGGAGTCCAGCCTCTTCACTAACACCCAGGATCAGCCTCCAGCCCTGGCCAAGGTGGGTACACCATGGATTGATAGCGGGCGAGTCACTGCCTGCCCTAGCCCATGCTGGGAGGAAGGGGGGGGGCAATGTCAGGGTCACCAGAACCTGGTTGTGCACAGGGCCTTAGAGGCAGCCTGAGGCGTGCCCCTGGCTGCACTTGCCCAAGCTGCTTGTGGACCAACCAGAGTAAAATCTCTGGAATGGGGCCCCAGCATCTGCATTTTTAAAGTCCCCAGACACTTCCAATGTGCAGCCAAACCTGCGAGGGGGTTCTGGAGGGGGCTTGCAGGCAGCGTCAGTGGTAGGAAAAGCACCCATCTTTACACGCCTCTTCATTCCCACCTGCCCCTTAGCAGGGTGGCTTTAAAAAAAAAAATGTTCATTTACCTCCTATTTATTTATAGATTCAGTGTAATCTCAACCAAATTATATTTTGTACCATTCAACAGCAAGTTGCATACATGACACCCTCTTATCACTAAATACTTCAGTGTACATTTCCATAAAACAGGAACATGTCAGGCTGAGGTTGTGGCTCAGTGGTAGAGTGCTCACCTAGCACGTGTGAAGCACTGAGTTCGATCCTCAGCACCATATACAAATAAATAAAAGTAAAGGTATTGTGTCCATCTACAACTAAAGAAAAAAAAAAACAGGGACATGTCTACATAGCCATCAAAATCAAAATTGATGATCTCATCCAAGGCACAGAGTTCATCCAAATTCTGCAGGCTGCCCCCCAAGAGCTCCTCTCTGCACCGGCATTATGATCTAAATCACATGATACCTTTGCTGTTCTACCTCATTTAAGCTGTGTGGCTTTAAGCTTATGACTCAAGTTCTCTGAGCAGGTTTCATTCCAGGATGCAAACCCCTTTTGCAGTGACCAGTGCCTGAGGCATTCATTCTCTTTCCTAAGGGAATGAGCCACTCTCCTGTCCCCAGTGTCCTGCCTTTTCCCTCTACCCCCTCTCCTATCTGCCCCCCAGCCCAGCCAGAAAAACTGGTTCCAGAAAGGGAGAAGAAAGGACAGCTACTGAACTTTGGAGGCTTCCTCCTCCCTTCCCAGGACACTTCCAGTTCCATAGGACAGGCCACCCAGGGGGTATGGAAGTCCCCTGGGGATCCCCCTGGTCCCATACTTTACCCTGCTTTCCTGGAACAAACTGGCCAGGCCCCCTGCAGAGCTGAGCTAGACCTGGAGAGGGAATTGTTCCCACCCCCACCCTGGCACAGACAACCCATACCTGGGACCCCAACCACGAAGGACAAGGGGGAGCGGGAGGGCAGGCAGAAAAGGAGGGGTGCTAGGAGTCACTGCTGCTCCGTCCTGGGCTCAGGCCCAAAGGTAAACAGGTGTATTTGGACTCCAGCAGGGGGCAGCGGGCTGGCCCCAGGGGCAGGCCTGGGCCTGTCAGGGTGGGGAATAGGGTGTTGTTAACAATGGGGTGGGCCAGCGGCCCAGGTCCTGCTGACACATTCTTGTGTGTGGAGGAGGAAGCAAACACAGGTGACAAGGGAAGGGAGGACCTAGGCAGAGGAGGGGGCTTTATGAGGCCACCCATGCAGGGCCCAGGGCCAGGCTGACCAGTGTGAGCTGCAGGGCAGGGAGTGAAGCGCATGAGAGCCCACAGGTTGCCTTCCTCCCCGTTGTGTCCACGCCTCTCTGTTGCGTCCAAGTGGTGTGGGTCACAGCCACCTCAAAGGGTGGGCATGTTGGGGCCTGAACTTTCCCTGTGTGGGAYCAGCTAGAAGGACACTGTCCCCCAGAAGCCAGGCAGGGAAAGGTGGGGATGTACAGTAAGCAAAGGGGGACGCCAGGCCCCAGGTCTCTCTGCCGGCCCCTTCAGCTCCCCTGCAGCCCTCAACTGCTGGCCCGGGGCCCCACCATAATACCCTCTTTTGAGGGTAGGACTAGAGGCCCAGCCCTCTTCCCCCTAGAAGGAAGCAGCTTAGCTGAGCCCTCAGGAAGCAAGAATACCAGGAACTGGACAGGGTTGTGGCCGGCACACCCCCATCAGCTCACCTCCTCCACCACGGCCCACCCCCACCTGGCCTTTTGAAGCTGAGCCTGGGTGGCCCTCTGCTGTTTGCCCAGGGGATTAAGCTGAAGCTGGGAAGTGGCCAACTGTTCTCAGTCAGTGGCCCTATCCCCACAGGCGGTCCCGCCCCCTCCTCCCTCACTCAGGCACCAAACCCTGTCCCCTCCAACTTGCCCCAAGTGAACTGTGCCTGAGTTGGGCAGTGGTGAGCAGGGAGGGTGGAGCAGACGCAGCCCCTGTAGGTCCACAGACAGACAACCTGGCTGTCCTACTCCTTCCTACAAGCAGAGCCTCCAACAGAGCCTCCAACGTGTGGAGTGTTTAATGAACAAATGAATGCACGTGCTGACTGGCAGGTCAATCTCTCTCTCTCTCTCTCTCTCTCTCTCTCTCTCACACACACACACACACACACACACACACACACACACAGGGAAGTGGCCTGGGCAAAATGCTCGACCTAGTCAACATCAAGGGGTTCTCAGGACACTGGGCTGGGGACATTCCTGAAGGCCCTGGAGTCTGTGGTTCTCCCCATGGTGGGCAGAGGCTGGGGAGAGGGCATTCCAGCCCAGGGAGAACTCCGAGGCAAGCCCCCTGATGCTTTGTGGAAGCAAGGACTGGCCACTGTTTGGCCCTGTGTGTTTGGGTGTCTCACCCGTGAGAAAGGCAGTTGGTGCCTTGAATGCCACCTGAGGCTGCCTGGGATTGGGCAGGAAAGGAGCCAGAGATGGGAAACTGGGCAAGAAGGAACCGAGAGAGGGAGGCGGGAGGCAGAGAGGCAAGGAGACCTTCATTCTCATCTGCTCCTCTGGCCTCAATCCCCCTGGGCTGGTCCCAGGTGTCCCAGGAGTGAGAAGCACAGAGAGCCAAGAGGCAGGGCTGGAGTGGAGAAACTGGCACTCGAGTCCCCTCCTCTTCTTTTATTATTCCATCCAAACCCACAGAGTCAGCAAATGGGCCTTTTACCTATTTGTACCCTGACCACAAGGTCTCCAGAGTGGAGCTGTGCCCAGCTCAGCTATCCTTACCAGGCCCCACTCCACTGTGCACCAGGACAGGACAGGGCCCTGAGATTGCTGAGCCTGGTACTTCAGACCCCTGGCAGCCCAGGTGCCTGTGGCCAGTGTCCAACACCAAGGGCGGGGCGGGGGGGGGCTCAGGGGGAGCCCGAGAGCGCCAAGGCCTGGTATTTGGTTAAAGATTAACCCTGGCTTCCTGG